GTTTTAAACACCCATGCTTATCCTATTTCTTAGCTTTGATACGCATTTTGATCGCTAAAATCTCCTCACAGAAAATCGCACGAAGCACCTTAACAATCCAGAGCGTTACCAAAGTATGCAGCCATTTTACTTTCTTTCATCTCGATCCATGACATCAGCTACGATACTATCAGATCATCGAGCTAAAACCACCACTGCGCGCTCAAGTGTAAACAATGGCGGCAAGATTCAGTTGTTCCAGAATAGCTCGCACATGCGCAGACAGAATGCCCCTCTGTTCCTCTGTGACACTTCAACGGACCGTATTGACGCATGCGCATACGAAATTCCCTTCTGTTTTCATTGACATAATCTATGAAAGGTTCACTAATAAGATCAATGGGGATATCATCATTCCCTCGTGATTTATTGTTTTGGAACGTTTCTGTAATTGTCCTGCATTCCTCGGTAGTAATTCGTCCTTCACACGATTGCCTTTGTTCTTCCGATAGTTAGGAATATTTAAACTATTTAGAAATGCCTCTATGGAATCCGAAGCCTCTGCAGAATCATTCGCTTTGTACAGGTTGTGATAAAATCGTTTTTGTTTAGAGAGTATCCGATATGGGTCTGTAGTTATTGAACCGCTTATTAACGATTTTCGGATGTGTTTTTTAACACGATTTCTCTTTTCTAAATTTAAAAAGTATTTAGCACTCTTTCATCATACTCATGCCAGCGTGCTCTTGCTCGTATGAAGATTCCTTTTACTTTTTCCTCACATAAAAGTTCTAATTTCTCTTTAATGTCATCTAATCGCAAACTATTTGAGGCACTAGGGTCATTCATCAACTATATGTGATTACAGAACAGAAACCGGGCTAAACTTACTTACCTATCCTGGGTCTTGAGAGGCCTGAAACCTACAACGGTGCCTTGTTCATGGGACTACTGGATAATCCGGGAGAGTTGACATATTATGTGATGTGCTCGTTTTAAAAAATGCAAAGGTCAAAAGCTGACACTTTGCAAGTCAATGAATCCCTTCACCATTCCGGAATTATCTTTTTACAGTTCCAAGTTAAATTCCATCCACCGTTCATTCATGACAGCTGTAATTGATTCATTGCTTAATTTAGTTACTTGCATTTATTGAAAAGATGCCAATATTAATTAAGTTTTGATTTTCTTCAATGAACCTTCTTCTCATACATCTCTGTACTATACGTCAGTGTTCTTGTTTTGATCATGAGTTTTATTTTCGGCAAAATTTTCATCTACGCCCTTTCCATCAAGCCCTGGATTGATTTGGCAGGGGGCTTTTTAATTCACATTTAAATAATTCTATGTTAGCATTTCATGCATCGCCTTTAGTATTTACGACTGCCGCCAGTCACGTAATTGGTTTGTTTACAAAGGTACAGGGTGTTTCAAAAGTTCGTTCCGACTTTTTATTCGCTTAAATTTCACTAATTCTTAAAAAAAAACGTTTTGTAAAACTCAGTATGTTATTCATTATTCATTTAACATTGAATAACTAAAATATTAGTAACCATAATGTCTTCCTCTATGTTTTCTGACATTTTCTAAGCGGTGAGGTATAGAATGTACGAGCTCCCAAAGCGTGTCCAATGTCACATTCTTCCAGGCGAAGCGTAGTCACTGTCTTAGCTCGTCCAGTGTTTTGGGGCCTGGATCTTTGTATTTTGTCTCGTCTACGAAAATCCAGATGGTATTTAGGGGGCTCACATCACATGAGTTTGCCGGCCGGTCCTCCTTCGGTTTAAAGTTGGCAAATCCTTCTGACACCATGCTCGCATGAAGTGTGCACCACCTTTTTCTCTTCAAGGCCTTCCAACTTTTTGGGGGTAACTTATCCCCATACCGTTGTGCTCGAAACTTTGATCGATAATGTGAAGTTGAACTTTTTTTAACTTTCTGTTTTGTGGAATTATTACACATATACTCACAGCTTTTTCGATAATATTTCTCACACAGTTTGTGAAAAAACGGCCATCCACCCCTTGATTTAGTGTCTTCTAAGGTCTTCACTTTTGACCACTTGTTCGGTCATCGTTCAGACTTCTCCAACAATTTGACAATTTTTTTTGACTGAATAGCCAGAAGGCCATAAATATAGATGCATGAGCTCTAGCACAAACAGTGTAGGCCTTCATTTTCATGAAGGAGTAGAGAAATTGAAAGAAAACGATAAAAATACCAAAATAGAAAACCTACAAAAGGGGCAGGAAAAGTATGGCGGGAAAAACCTCGCGTACGTGTACAGTTGGGGCAAAAATTTAAAAAAATTATAGTTTTTTTCAAATTTTAGTTTGAAATTGCTTGAACGGTTATTTAGATAAATTTCTTACCTGAATCAGTTTACATTTGTCTAAAGAAGCATTAAAGGCTTTGCCCAAAATAAAATTTACAATCGGAACGAACTTTTGAAACACCCTGTAAACCAACTATGCAACTGACAGCAATTAAAATGCACATGACTTTGTAACTGCTACAGTTAATGCTAAAAAGAAGCCTCTGCTCGCAGGGTACAGCATTTTTACAGACCAGCTTAACATTATTTCAGCACATTCAAGATACGCTTTTGTTCAAAATGCAGGCTCCGAACTTGTAGTACATCAGTAACTGTGAAACAAAGATGACAATTTCAAAGTGTGGGTCAGTATTTTAACAATTCTTGACATATATTGAGAAAGTTCTTTACCTGCATTTAACTTTGTCGTGCCACCAAGCTCAACAGTAGAAGGAGATGGGCAAAGAAAAAGTGAAGTCCTAGAGGACAAACGTGACTCACCTGAGGGTGCAGATACAGTAGCAAGTGAATTACAAAGACTTTCACTGGTAAAGAAGGCAGGAGAGAAGATGCTGCAACAACTGAGCATGAAAAACCCATTGAACCTCTCACCGTTGATAGCATTGATTCAGAGCAAACCTTGGGGTGCTTTTTGCCAAACCAACCAGTTAGAAACCAGTGGAATTTTCAATAGGAAATGGAGCAACATTTTTCAGGTGAAACAAAGTTTCCCTTCGACTCAAGCGATCCATTTACATTTCGTCCGAAATTTTGACTACTGCTAAGCCGCATGGTGTGTCTTAATTTCATTTAAAAACGAAATAAAACAGTTAAAATTGCAACAATGTAAAAATATTTAGTTGTTTTAAAAGTGGATATGTAAGCGGGCAACTACAACACAGCTCAGAAGTGTTGCAGAGAATATTTTTAACCCGCTGAAATGTGAGCCAAAGAAGTGATCGGCGCTTGATGCAGAGTTTGCTCAAACGTAATTGGTCTAGCCGTTGAGTCACCTGCTCATATTACAAGGAATGTTCTAGCCGTTACAATAAGTGCCTAAAAGAACTCTACTGGCCGAAGAAATCTGTGGGACATACTATTGCTTTCTTTTTGGAAGGAAACTGATTACTCTTTCAACGATGCTAAAAAATTTAGACCTCTTCAAGACTGTGGGTAAAGGAACGAGAAATATTTCGACCCGAGGCATTGCTTAGGAACAGATGTGGATTTATTTGTGGTTTCAATCCGACACACGTTTGCCCGCTAGCCGCTCGAAGAAGAACTAAAGTAATTCTTTTTATAGAGTGAACTTGGCTTTTGAAACGATGCGAAGATGATGATCAAACTTGAAACGAAGTTACATTTACTTGAATATTATGCCTTTGCTGTTTCGCATTTTTATCACACAATTGGCAAGAGAATTTTTCATCCGCCATGACATGTCTTGGGAAAGTGTTTGAGGAATAAATGCTAGACATGCCAAACTCTGGAGATCTAAAATCTGGAGACTCACTCTTTTTCACTATCCCCATCCCCCGAGTCTCGACGGAGCCCCCCCTCCCCGGAGAAAATTGCCCTAGCCCCCAACGGAAATGACTTAGGACATTATATGAAGTCTTACATGAAGTACATTCTATCAAAATTCACGCTCATTGTGTTGATGCCGACAGAATCTTTGTCAACGACTAAATACGTGCAAAAATGCGTCAGAAACCGTCCTACGAATAAGAAGAACTCACACTTTGAGGGAAAAATGGGCTACATCTCAAACTAAAGCACAGAAAAGATCAAAAGATGATTTTATCCTGGAGATTTGGTGACCCGTACGGGAGAACGGGAGATCTGTGTCGTATCCGGGAGACTCCCGGATAATCCGGAAGCGTTGGCATGTATGAAATGCAGCTGCAGAATAGGGCACCAAAGACCGACTCATGTAGTGTATCTGCACAAACTGAAACGAACTTGTTTACATCATCCATGTATGTTATTGCAAGACAAACAGTTGTTCCAGTTAGACTCTTCTGATTTCCTAGAATCAGGGAATGCTAAAACGTTTTTACCTGTAATTTCACAAGCAGTTAGAAGATGTAGAATAAAAGTGAAATTTATGGCAGGTTTTCGTTGTTCTAGTGGTAATATTTTATTAAATAATTATTGTAACGTTTTAATTTTCATCGCGAGCTACTGTAGTAACCCCCGCGTATGAGAATATACTCTTTTTCAATTCTGGCGAAATAGGTTGTTATATTTTGGGGTACTATTGGCAGTTCAAGATTAAAAGGTTCTTAATTAGATTCCTTTTAGAATCTAATTAAAATTTCTGTGAAGGAGATATAGTTGTTGTCTATCTGTGAGGATCGTGCAAAGATCTTTGAGGATCTTGGAAAGATTTGTGAGGATACGACAAAGCCTCTGTGAGGATCGTGCAAACATCTGTGAGGATGTTGCAAAGATTTTTGAGGATATGTCAAAGATTTGTGAGGATCGCACAAAGATCTCTCAGGATCTTGCCTATTAGAACTTTAAGGATCTTGCCAAGATCTTTGAGGATTTTACAAATATCTTTCTAAAGATCTTCAAGATATATGCAAAAGACCTTCAAGGATCCTTGAAGATCTTCTCGAGAACCTTGAGGATCTTGGCAAGATCTTTGAAGATCTTTGAGGATTTTTGATAAGAATGCTCAAAGATCTGCACTAGGATCTTCATGCAAATCTTCAAAGATCTCCAAAGATCCTTGAAAGATTTTCACCAGGGAACCGCAGTAGTGAGAACCAGTAACCATTCAGCAGGTAGAGTGATTGGCTCTAAGATGATGCTCTTCCAAAAAGTCGGTTTTTATTGAGCAGTTTTTGTGAGAAATTCAGTATGGTTTAATTGATGTTGAAACAGTCTCATCAAGCCACCCAATATTAGTTTTGTTTGAATCATTATCTTGCACATTTATTTAATTTTTATTTATCCATCTGAAATTTATAATTGTTATCTACAGTGGGTCCTATATTTTCTTTGTAAAGCACTTATTTCTGACAAAATTTTAATGTTGAGTGAATGTCAAAGTGGCTAATGTTCATGGGCCAATATTTGTGACTTAGTTTGACTAACAAAAACTTCTGTTGAGTCCTGTTAAATGCCTTGGAGGTATTAAGACTGTATTGTGACTGTTTGTCTAATTCCGCCCTGGCATTGCTAGAACGAGGGCAAGGGTAAGACCAAGGGTAAGCGTATGGGTGAGGGTAAGGGAAAAAAGTCAGGGAAAGACATATTGCTATTAAAAGAGAAAACAAGGCAGATAAGACAAATCTTACAGATGGATAGCAAAAATTAGAGTACAAAGCAACGCTAAAACCTGAGCTAGTGGTGTGCAAGGTGTGCCTAACCTTTTCTGGCTGCTAAATAAAAAGTTGTTGCTGTTTACAAATTTTATAGACCGAATTCAGGTTGGCATTACCTCTTAACAATGATTGGTAGTATTATCGAATAAAAGATTTGCCGGGTTGGCAGCCGCAGGAAGCCATAGCAGTTTGCTTCTAGACTGTAATTGGTGCCAATTCACCCCTAGCTAGGTGGGTTACCCAAACAAACACTTCAAGAATTTCAACCCTAACCCCACCCCCACCCTAATCTTAAGTGTCACCCCCACCCTCACCCTAACCTTTTCTGGCTGCTAAATAAAATGTTGTTGCTGTTTACAAATTTCATAGACCGAATCCAGGTTGGCATTACCTCTTAACAATGATTGGTAGTATTATCGAGTATAACCCTAACCCTAATCTTAACCCCTCACTCTCACCCTCATTTCCTCGATAGAAATATCCATGTGAGCACATAGGTGCTTGCTTTATTTGTATATAGTTTGGGTTAACTAGAAATAAAGATAGTGCCATTTTGAGGCCAAAAATTGATAAACGAAATAAGCGCCCCCGTCAAATAATCGCCCCCCTCTCCTCTTAGAAAATTAAATAAGCACACCGCGCTAATTCGAGCATTTACGGTAAGTAAAAATATCAGTGACTCACTGATATTGCCATGTGTCCCTGATATGGGAGTGTTAACAATGTAGAGAGTAAGGGTCAGGGTTTAAGGGTTAGTGTGAGGGTGAGAAGCAAACATTAGTAATTTTGTACTATTACGCATGTCACTTCATTAAAAGTGCCGTATACGTCTCGTATATCGTATCGAGTACTGAGCCTCGTTTTTCCTCGGGGGAGGGGGAAGGTCGCTTATTTGAAGGGGACGCTTATTCCAAATTTTAAGCATGAGGAGGGGCGCTAATTCGAGCATTTATAGTATCTGAAAAATTTCCCTTGTTCTATAATTAGTACTAGTTAATTCAGTTTATGTTTTTTTTTTAATGCATAGCAGCCATCTCTAAGGATGTGGAAAAGGAGGTAATTGAAAACGCTGGAACTGTATTCCAAGAGTCGTCAGTGCCTGATGTTAAGAAAGGTTGTGAAACAGTTACGCTTTTGAAAACATCCGTGGATTCAGGACCTAACACAGTCAAGCAGGAGGCTGACAAAGTAGGCAGACAGTCAAAGGAAAACAACACCAACACTCCCTCCGAAGAGTCTGATAGTAAAATCCGCAACAGTGATCATGGGGAAGGCAGTGATGAAAGCGATGAAATTGAGTCAGACTTAGAGGTAACTGTATTACTAGAACTGCAAATAATGGTCGGTTAATGGAAATGTGACGATGTTGAAATCTTATTTGTGGTTGAACGTGATTCCCTACAAACCAAATGCCAAAGACTAGCATATTGAGGCCTTTTTAGAATAACAATTAGTACCAAGGAAATAAACATTGACATAATGTGTAACTGACACTTTTCTGGTTTGTCCCACTGAAATGGTGATCTGATCAGCTGTACTATGTCCTCTCTGTCAAAAATATCCCTGCGTCCATCGTTTACGACCACTGATTCAAGTGCTGGTATATAATGTCTCATTGGGTACCTGTTCTGAAACAAAGAAAAAATCTTTGATTTTTATTTGTTACCTAGTATTAGGTGATTAATCATCTTAATGATGTTGAGAAACAATAAATGAAACAGTTTTAAAAAATCACGTCTTTTTATTGCTTCATGTCGTTTTGTTTTTGTTTTGGTTCGTTTTTTCGTCAGGTAGATAATTCAAATCCACCAAAAGATAAGACGGCACAATCTGCAGGCACGGAAAAGCACCCGTCCTTGAGCAAGACCACTATGGATAAGGAAAAAAGGAAAAAGGAGGAAACAACTAGAGAAGCAGCACAGTGAGTCCATTGTTTTGTTTGGTAGACCTTTTTTTTTTCATTAACATTTTAGATCATTTAGGCTTAATTGTAAAATCCTCATCCTCTTTACTTATCAAGCCGGTCTTGGCTGCTACTCTTGCATGCACCTGCACCTGCACCTCTACCACTCCACCTTTCTTCTCTCTACTTTCTATCCCCCTGGCTGCAATCCTTATAACGCCATTATCCCTCATTCATTTGATTTTGTACTCTCGTATTTATTTTAATCTTTGTGCAGCTTAAGCAGTCACTTACACCAGCCACACATTCCAGTTGTCTATCAGGGTGGTTAACTTTGGTGCTTCCTGCTGGCTTTTATACAGAACATCTTCATAGCAGTAATCTTAAATCATTAAAGACTTTAGTTTGGCTTTGGGTACCCCTTATTGTACCCATTATTATTATTATTATTATTATTATTATTATTATTATTATTATTATTATTATCATTATTATTATTATTTCTATTATTATTATCATTTTTATTATTATTGTTACTATTTTTTTATTTGTTATCTAGTTCAAATTTTTTTGTATTTTCATTCATGAATTCAGGGAGCAAACAAGTGCTAAAATTTGCCAATACGAGTGATCGCCGTCGAGTTTGTATATTCTGTAAAAACGAAACGAGTTTCGACAAGATTGACGTCATTATTGTTTGCTATGAGAACATATATACGGTCGCTACCGCGCTTTTTACAAGTAACAAAATGCCACTTTCCTTGCTGTGTAACAATGAGCACTTCCACCCATATTTTGCCATTATCTTCTTTAAGATGAAAAGTGCTTCATTTTCTGTTGTCTACACTAAGCAAATTTGACAACCATTTCTTGCATTAGCAATTTTTTTCTTGTTTATCCCCTGAGAGAAACCACGTGACAGAAAGCCATGGCAAGTATCTCTCCTCCTCAGAGATTCCCGCTAGGTTAAGAGGCCTCTGCGGAGGAGAGAGGGAGAGTATCGTGAGTAAAGTGTATTATTACCTATTTATTATTCATTCAAAATATTTCCCCAATTCTGATTGGCTAAAAGCACACGCATAATTCACCATACCAGTTACTGATGACCAAATTTGGAAGAATTTTGTGTTTAACGAGGAAATGACGTCAAAAATGCAGCCCTCTACAGGTTAAGGCACCGTTAACCGAGAAAACCTGGGGACGAGGTTGAGTTGTTTTGGTTGTGAAAAAAAATGGCGGACATTTCACTCGTTTCAAGAGTAAGAACTACAGCCGGAACTAGGCTTTCGTAGGATATGAATAATTAAGCAGACCTCGGAGGGTGTTATCCACCTCGGCCTTCGACCTCGGTAGATAACACCCTCCTCGATCTGTTTAAATTCTTCATATCCTACTCAGCCTCTTTCATTAATTGCTAAATATACTCTTTGCAGGAGTGATAACCATGACCAAGTGGCTGACAAGGAAAAGGGCGGCGGTTTCGGAACCAACCAGCCAGTTGATGGTGATGATCACGAACATACTCATGACAACGAGGAAAACGATTCTGGTCTTGCAAAAAACAATGAAACGTCGTCAAAAATGAAAAGGGAGTGCTTTGAAGATTATAACGCCGACAAAATGACTGTTGTTTTTCATGCTGTACTTGCGCCCCATTTTAAATTTGAGCCAAATCTTGGAGACAAAATTTACGTGAGGTTTGGAGGAGAAATGTTTGGAGATTTTCAGGACAATGTTGTGGAGGTGATCCATCAGCGGTAAGCTACGAGTTATAAATAATGTTGATTGGAAAACATGACGTAAAATCAGCGTGTCCTTGTTCAAGTTTTAGTTAAGAAATTAAGCCCTAAAAAGAAACCCTTCTTCTACGTGAAGCTCCACATTTTGTAAGGATCCTTAAATATCCTGAGTCAACTTTTTTTAAACATTTTTTTTAAAATTATCTTCATTCCCGTTTTTATTGGTATAGTTTTTATAAAAAGGTTTGCATGACGTTTAGTTGGTCATGAGATGAAATATCTTTTAAGGATGTATGCTTACGTTAGGAAGTGGTCTGCCTGTGGCAATTTAATGAATGGGGTTATTTTCTAACGAAGCTGTAGTAATGCGTCGATGTTGGACTGATTTGGTTTTGAAAACTGAGTTGGTTTTAAAAATAAGGCGAACTGGAAACGTTCTAACTATAGAGCGTTTAGTCATCGTAGCTGACGGGATTTGACGTGTACGACTGTTTAAAGCACCCGTGGAATGAATTTGGCTGTACAGGCGTAAGAATAATTAGGATGAGAGAAGTCAAGATTCTCCATCCCAGCCTCGCCACCTGCTGTTCCCGGCGGCTCTAGAAGCTCTCCCGCACTCCAGGCGGTGTTTGCACTGGGATTGCAATGCATTGTGGATGTAGAAATTTCATGATGGCGGCGAAGGTCAAGAAAACATGGCCTGAACTGCAGGAATGGCTCCGAGCCGTAATGAGAGTAACCGCTGAAAGCTTGACATGTGGTCACACATTGCCATAAATAGCCCCCCATAGCTACCCATTGAGACATATAGCCATACATAGCCACCCATAGCCACGTATAGCCACCCATAGCTACACATAGCCACCTATAGCCACTCATAGCTACACACAGCCACCTATAGCCACCCATAGCTACACCTAGCCACACATAGCTACACATACTCCACATAGCCACCTTAGCCACCCATAGCTACACCTAGCTACACTAGCCACCTATAGCCACCCATAGCTACACATAGCCACCTATAGCCACCCATAGTTACACCTAGCTACACATAGCCACCTATAGCCACCCATAGCTACACATATCCACACATAGCTGCACATGGCCACCTATAGCCACCTATAGCCACCCATAGATACACATAGCTACACATAGCCACCTATAGCCACCCATAGATACACATAGCCACCTATAGCCACCCATAGCTACACATAGCTACCCATAGCCACCTATAGCCACCCATAGCTACAAATAGCTACCTCCAACCATAACTGCACATAGAGCTACACAAAGCCACACATAGCCACCCATAGACACGCATAACTGCACATAGCCACCCATAGCTACACATAACTACAGATAGCCACCAATAGCTACACATAGCCACACATAGCCACACATAACTACACATAGCCACCCATAGCCACACAAAGCAGCACATAGCCACCTATAGCTACACATAACTACACAAAGCCACACATAGCTACCCATGCACACACATAGCCACACAAAGCCACACATTGGTACACATAGCCACCCAATGGTACAAATAGCTACACATACCTAGGCAAGTAGTAGTAGTATTTTTTCAGTGACAAACTTAAGAGATATATATGTTATTCACCGAGCTAGCTCGGTCCGTATTGGGAGAAACTGAGCTCGAGGTCTTGCTTACCGCCCTCGGCCTACAACATTTTTATTTTTCCTTACTGAGATTTAAAAGTTTCAGGAAAATTTTACTTTAGTCCAACCTATGTGTGTTGAAGTAGGACCCGTTCGTGTTGATGAAGCGCGCCATAGATTGCAAACTAAAACAAAACATTACAACATGATTTTTAGCTTGTAATTTTATATATTATCACAATTAAGCTCTCTTTTAGAATAAAGAAGGGAGGTTAAGGGTTGGGGAGCTTAAGCAACTACGACGAAGACCACACTGAACGACAACTTAGAAAAACAATTGGTTTTATGAGCAAAACAACAGCCCTGCACTTGCATCACGCATTTTAGTACGTTTCTTTGACGTCCACTGCACGACTACGAAGTGAAATGCTGAATGCCATTTTCAATTTCAAACTTTAAATTCTGTGACTCATACCAATAGAAAGCGAGGATACTAGATTGCAGTATTTCTTCATTAGATTTTTATTTAACACTGAAGATGCCTGAAGAAAGTGTTCAATATTATTTGTAAATAGGACAAAACTCACCCTGTACGTACCGATATCTTGATTGACTTTTCATTTACAGTACTTTATGTGTGATAAGTGCAGATGGTAAAACAAATAAAAAATGCAAACGGGGTGCCAACAAACCTAAATCCCTGTAAAGACCTAGCAGGGCCTCTGTAAAGCTGACCCGCTAAACTTGTCTTATAGTCTAGAAACTGTTTTAGGGCTATCTTGTCAGAACGAAGTTAAAATTTTTCATCCTGGCCCATACCAGTCTGTTTTCAAGCCAACTTAAGCTTAAATTCGTCTTGCTAATAATGAAGAAATCGTCGTAGTACCTCGTAGTTCTAGTTGCACTAATCTGACGATAAAATCACTTTTTTCGGCAAACCACGGGTCTTACCTTTAGTGCTACAGTCGCTTCCTGCGAGATGTTCACCCCTCACCATCTTGTCACAAATGATCAGATTTTGAGTACCGCCCATGAGGCGTAACGATCCCAGTGCGCACACCGCCTCCCGCACTCTGAGTCCTCCAGCTAAAAATTAAAGTTATCTTGCAAAGGTAACAATCACTTAAAACCGCCATTGCTTCTAATCTATGAATGGATTTTGTTATCATCTCTGTACATCTGAAGATGGATCTTTGGAGACTGATTGAATCTGATAATATTCTGCAATTTGGAATATAGATCCTTAGAGAATGATTTTATCCTGGTGCAAGCAAGGCTCGTGGTACCATGTTCATATGTGTCCCGCCGAGTTCCATACAAGTACATTGTATGGAAAGAAGAAAGGAAAGATTCAAAAGAAAAGGAAAAGGCAAAATATTTGTGGGAATACTTAGTTGACTGGGGATACAACAAGAACAGATGTCTTCAAATACCAGAGGACAGATGTGGACCGGGAGGTGTTTAATTGTTTATGTTGTTGTTTTAGTTGTTGTCTTCGTTGTCATGCGTGCAAAAATTCTGTGATGAATCGAAAATTTGGTGTTGGTGTAACCACTAGAATACCTGAATGAACGTATCCCTGAATAAATTTATAACATGAAATTCCTCTCTCAGTATAAGCCCCCTTTTATAAGCTCCTTGGGGACATATATTTGGATGTCGGCATTCTCTATTTTCCAATTGCCCATAATACACTCTGTTTGCCCCCCAAATTCTGCATAAACCATTGTGTTTAAATGCTCCTGGGAGTATTGCATTTTCCCAAGAGCATTTTAAGACAATAAGTCATGCAAAATTTGGGGGGCAAACAGAGTGTATTATGGGCAATTGGAAAATAGTCAATTAATTAATCTGCAAAGGAATTGTAACTCTCAAGGGAATATCCGAAATATGGTAATGTTCGAAAACAAAGCCATGGAGAAAATTTTTCATTCATCATTTTTTCTGAATATGTAACCTTTTTATGACAAGAGTTGACCATACCAAGACCTAGAGAGTCAAAAAAGAAAAAATGCTCCTGACCCAGCCTACTCTCTAGGCTTTCTCGGCTCGGTCAATCGTGGACTCTACCCTGAGGTGTGACGTCACCGTGAGAGACTCGCCTATTCTTTCCCAGACTACCATGGGCGCTAAAATGGGGATTGTAGAGTTCATTGATCAAGTGCAGCTGTAAAATGTTTTGAAGGGAATCTATCCATTAATTTTGGTTTAATCGTTGTTTTCATGAAAGTAGCCTAAAAAACTGCTAAAAGAACTGAGATATTCATTTCGATTGCCAAAATAAGAATATCGTAATATAGGTCAGTCTATGTGTTAGTGTAATTCATGTGTCATAATGAGTTACAATAAAATTCAAGGTGTCTAGATATAAGAGCGTTTAAGATAAAGGGTGTACCTTCCAAAATGCTAGAGAGCCATCTTAAAGTGTACCATATATTTTTCAGTAAGTTCATGCATCATAACTGGATCAATAACATTTAGACATAGTGATCTGTTTCCGCGTTTGACTTTCTCTTTATGCAATTGCACAGAGTAGACACTGAGGTTAAAAAAATTGGTATCCAAGTATGTCCCAGGTTGATGGGTCAAAATGGCTGTTATTATTATTATTATTATTTTGTTTGTTTTTTTTTATTATTTAGCTGTCTGGAACCAATATGATGACACAATTTTCAGTCCACCCAGCTGGTTACAGTCAGCTCGTAACAAAATGCCACTTCTGAAGAAAAGTATGGATCCTGCTAAAGGAAGAAAGATTGCTACTCGGGCAATGCTTCCCGACTGGGAAGGATTTACCATGGAAGGTGGCAATACAAGCTTGTCGGCTTGGGAGGCCATAGAGAGTGTCAACGATTTAGCTTTCTGTATGACACAGGCACAAGTGGTGAAAAATAATCGTGTCTACAAGAATGTTCCGTCTTCGTATGACTTCAGCAAAGTAAAGCAATGCTAAATTTTATCTTTCATGACTGTTTAGTTTGAAGTTTTTAGTGCTACCATAGATATGACAGAATTTTACGGACACCTCAAAAGGAACCTCTAAAAGTTAACTGCTGTTGCAAATAAAATCACTTATCCTGGGTGTCGCTAAACAATGGTGGATCTCGGTTCATAGTATTCTCAAAAGTTTTTATTTTATTTTATTTATTCTTAACAACACTTTATTTCATATTTACATACAAAGCAAAAATTACAAAAATTGTGAAAACTAGAAAAAAAGTAGCAAAATTACAATTTAAAAAAGTTATTGAAAATTACAATTTAAATTATCTTTACCCTTATACATGAAAAATCAGTAACTTTTATTTTTTTTAACATAACATAATAAGGTAACTGACGAAAACTATATTATACGCACACGTATCCACAATGGATTTAAAACAAACAAACAGACAGACAACTTAAACAGGACAGTTCTAAAGAGAGCCGCCTACAGTTCACTTCCACAGAATAGTACATTCGTTAAAAGAGGGCAGATTTTTAATCTTTAATCGAGACCATTTCTTTTTAAAAGTGTCTAAAGAATTGTGGTCTTTTGCAATTTGCCTTTCTATTTCCACAGTGCGTTGAACTATTTATTTGGATATTTGGGCGCGTATCTCTTTGTTCACAGGTGTAGATATGATGCCTGGAAATAAGTAGTAAATGGTGCAGTAGCAAATCTTTTGCATCGTTAATTTAGCCAAATAGGAGAGCATACCCAAAAGTTACTCTTTTGAGGCTGTCAAAAAGATATCACTACCAGGTATAATCAATTAGTAGATGGGGAATTCAACAATTAGGACGTTCTTTGGGTCTACTTCTCGGGGATCATGCTGATAGTAGCTATTAACAACATTTCCTGCTATTTCTGGCTATGTTGTTTGTTTAGAAAGTAATTACATACTGATTTTGATCTACGTTTGTCTCTTGTTCTTTAGTATTTTCGTCAGCGTGTATCACTGTGTTATTATATTAACGGCAAGTTGTTTTATCTTACCATTTTTAGGTTCTAAAGAAAATGTTGCAGCCAAAGATAGAGCAGAATGCTCTACCCCTATCAAATGGCACAGACAATACCAAAAGGATGCTTCGTCTTGTATCATCAGTAGCGATTGTTAATGTTATTGTTTCTCACAAAGTGCGCCTGGATCGTGATAAATATGCAAAACTGTTGTCATCGTTAGTTCTCTGGCGAGATGCAAAGGAAAAAACTTGTAGTTCATTTACTAGTCTTTTGTGTCACTTTCCCAGCGCACAGTGGCGGTAGGTAGTTCCTCCGTGTTTTTATATTGTTTTCGGGTTCAACTCGAAATAAAATTCGCCCTTAATGGACCAATCATGTTGACAACGGAGCTTTAGGTTAAAGGCACTGCAAAGGGTAGAATACAGTTGCCAAAAACGTACATAAGTCCTTTGAGTGGTGGATACATTTTATCAACAGAAGGTGATAAAAGCACCAGATTGAACCCGATCTCTTTCATGTTGTCTAGGATTAAACACAAATAAAGAGGTTTAGAAAATTCTAGTGTCCGGTTGTCTAAATCTATTTTGAAAAATATTAATCAATAATAAATAAGAAATAAATAAACAATTATCGTGCATTTTCTTTTGATCTTGTTGTAAATACGTATAATAGTTTAAGGCTTTACACTTTTCTTAAAGGAACCTTGGAGAATCCCTTCAAGAAATTTGCAGGCAAGTTGTGAAGGATGACAACGACCTTCATGAGTGGTTGTTTGCTGTACCACTTGTTCATTTCCTGACCCAGGTATCAGAACCTTTTAACAGTGATGTGTTACTCATGGAGGAACCTAAACCTAACGATGACACCTGGTGGGGTGCAAACGGATTTCCTACCAAAACAGTGAGAGAAAGAAATTTTACAAAGAACAGGTGAAAGACGCAAATTTTTTAGAGTGTCATTGTATTTAGCATAAAAGTAGTGATTGAAGACTCTTTTATGGGACCGCCATTTTAGGTGGTCATCTAAGCAGCGCGAAGGTCTACCCGTTTGCAGTGCAAAGGCAGTACCTTCATTTCTCAGTTGTTTTAGGATCCTCAATATTGGTCTGATCCGAAAATTGGATCCACGACCTCCATCTCTGCCCGTCAAGCGCTCTACCTACTGACTTAGTCCAACCGAGGTTGGTTGTTTTTGGAGCGTATATACCGATAAAGTGCTGCCATGTTAAGAAAGATGGCAGCACTTTATACATTAAATATTATACTGTTGGTTTTCATTTGTTTTGGTGTTTATCGTCTGGTGAAGTTCAACAAGTTTACAACGTGGCGGCTGCACACGTTGTTAACGGCTCCTCGGGGCCAAGGCGAATTCCTCTTTATATCGGGTTTCTACTAAGGATGCCTCGTTTCTGGATAAATATTATTGCGGAGGATTCTTTATACACAAGTTCCATGGCTCTTGTCGTTCGTTTACACCCGCAATTGTCCGGCCTTGCGATAAAATCTCGGCCTCATCGCTGCCTAACTGCCTGTATTTTATACACGACGAAAGGTACAAGCTCATTCCAAGTTGAAAGGCTTTTGCAGGCCCGTAGCAGGGGGAGGGGCAGGGGGGCTCGAGCCCCCCCAGAAATTTTCAGACTTGAATTAAATTCTGCTACAACAGTGGAATTTTTCTACTAAAATCGACAGCTATCAGTAGAAGCTAAAGTTTCAAAGAATTGTCGATCATAGTAATATTATGTACTGTTGTTCTTCTGTGCAATTTGGAATTGTGTAAATGAACGAAATGATTTGGTAACCTTCTTGCAGTCCCTTGATAGCTCCCGCAGAAAACTATTAAGCGAAATTTCTACTCTGGGAAAGCTGTTACTCGTCATGCCAGCAACCAATGCCGTTAGTGAAAGATCGTTTTCAACTTTAAAGCGGGTGAAGACGTATTTGCGTTCAACAACGGGAGACTCTAGACTGAACCACCTCATGACGTTGCATGTTCACAAGGACAGAACAGATGCTCTGACCCTTGTAGACGTAGCTAATGACTTCGTTGGGGAGAAAGAAAACCGAAAGCAAATGTTTGGCAAATTTTCTGCGAACGATATCCCAAACAAGTTCTCTAATTCCTCAAAGTCAACACAAACGGAAAATAAGAGACAAGAACAAAAGGCATTGTAGACAAATGTCGCTATGTGACATGTACCAAGAAGGATACTTTAACCGAGGGACAGGAGCGGGGGGGGGGTAGTTAATGTGGGCCACTCGCTCAGCCCCCCCAGTCATTTTATGCTTGCTACGGGCCTGAATTTTGACCTGTGGTGATATCGCTAAAAACCCAGTTCCTAAGGTCAAGCGCGTTCGTAAAATTTCCATGTGTTGATTGCAAGAAAAGTGTCAGAACTGACCAGGACGCCATCTTGTGTGGTTCTTGTACCTTGTGGTTTCATACCAAGTGCCTTGGTATGTCCAAGTCTGTGTTCCAGTACTATCTTGCACATCCTGATATTGAATGGACTTGCACTTTCTGTGCATTACCACCGCTTAGTGACTTGTTTTTCGCAGATATTTCGCCTGTCGACGTTTTTTCTGTGACTGCTGGGGAGCTTGGAAATGATGATTTATCTTCGACCTCTGCCTCATTTACTGAGATACCTACAGCCTGATATAGGGATAAAATTAAGGGTTACTACATGAACAACTTATCCATCGGCCATCTGAATGTGGTATTCCCGGCAAAATCGATGAGGTGTTAGATCTACTGAGTGCTGTTTTGACATCTTGTTTCTTTCTGAAACTAGATTAGACAAATTTGTTTCATCAACCCCACTTTCCAACCCACATTATCGCATCATACGCAGAGACAGAATGCGAGGTGCTGGTGGTCTGCTTGTTTACATTCATAATTCAGTTGTTGCTCGACGACAGCCTAAAATGGAACAGGAAAATATCGAATCGATTTGCTTAAATGTCAAAGGGACTGAAAATACATCATTCTATGTGTGTGCCTGCTACCGTTCACCGAACCTCTGCAGAGTATCTGACTTTATTTCTGCCTGTTCAACTGCCGCAGACAAAATGCTTAAGTCCTAGAGCGAAATTATATTTTTGGGTGATTTCAATATTGGCATGCTTCAAAGTAACTGCAACATTAGTTTGCATAGTCACACTAATCCCTTAACAGACTTTTGCGACCAGTTTTGTCTCACCAATACGGTAGATGGACCGACAAGAGAGACAAAAACGAGTAAATCAGTGATTGATGTTATCCTAGTCAACCGACCGGAGCATTGGGCTACTAGTGGCTCGTTACAACTTGGCATGAGTGATCATATTTATTATAAAGGCATTCTGGAGTTGTGCTATTTTGTCATTTGGCAGATTTAGCAGAAACAACAGTTACTGCCGCGCGCGCAGATCTAAAAACCGACTTGGCCAATAGCAGAGCGGTAAATGGAGCGTCGATGTCGGGTTCAGCCCTTGCTTAAAATGTCCATTGTGTTCACAATCCCTTAATTAGAAATTTCTCTTCACTAGCCAAGAGCATTTATAAGGTTTGCCCCCTAGGGAAACATGGTAATATACTACTCAAAGGTAATGTCATAAACTTTTTGCCCTTTTACTGCTCTTTTGGTTACCGTTTTCTTTTTTTCCTTTCAGTTGCCCTTCCTGTATGATGAAAGTGTTGCGTCCCTTGTTTGAACTGGATCCTCTCTTCAGAAGAACGTTTCTTTTTTGTGTTCCCCCCGTAGCGTTTGGTAAAATTGCTACCTCGGAACTATTTCCTCTGGCCGAAGTATGCGCGACCCTTGACCAGGTTTTGTCTGTGAAGGACTATTTAATGCCAGATGAGGTAAATTCTTTTTGAGTCTTTTGTTTCGTTTCGTTTTATTTTTTTTTTTTACGAAACAAAAGGTTCAAGTTAAGTTGAAATGTCAACTACAACCGCCTCGCGAAAACGACCAGCGCACGACCACCCGTGACGTCATATATGACGTCAGCTTATCTTGTCTAACAGTAACAATCCTAAATAATATCTCTGGCACCTGCTATTTCAAATAAACTTCAAAACAAAAACCGTGTATTTTTAAGAGGAAATCGAAGGTTTGTTTATGAATCCAAGATGGCGACCAAAAGAAGGGTATGAGGGTCAAATTTAAAATTCGATTTAAAAAGGGAAAGCTACCGCTCTATCCTTACTCGGCATGCATTTTTTTTGCTGCTTTTTACTCAAAAATTGATATTATACAAGTTTCGTTTGTTCCCCTCAACTGAGCCATACAACCCCCCTAGCTGATAGACTATAAAGGCACGTTTTCCGAGTCCGAGAAAGCACTATAATTTCCTCTCGTATGCGATCACCTCCCTATGGTAAGAGATTACCAAATCGTGGCATTTTTAATAGTCACTAATGGGTTGGTCTAGTGTTGACTGTTGCCAAACTAATTTTACAATAGGTTATTTTCTAAAGTTCAATCGCCTAAGAACCAACCTTAAATTTTCTTCAAGCGCTGAGAAGTAAGTGTACAAGCCTTACCACAAAATTTGTTTTCAATTTACAAAAGTAGTCGTACGTAAACTCAACTTGTAAACATCCTTGAAAGTAAGTTACGTTTACCTACTTCTTTGATGTAGGGGAAAGCTGCTGCGGTTACATTGTACGAAACACAGAAGGATATAAAAGCAGCTACCGAGATTGCAGTCGCTGAGTAAGTTTAAGTAGTTACTAGAACTAACAATAGCGATGTTTTTTCACCAAATTTATTGTCATTGTCTTATTTGCAAACCACATTTCGAATATGTGAGATTGAAAGTGAGGGTGATTATTCCATACAATTAAATCTTATATTCAGTAACACCAGAAACCCATAAGGCGTTGAAACGAGTAACTCGCGTTCAATGCTCGTGAATGTTCATTTTGACCATATTTGGAAATCTTAGTGAGGGATATCCATTTTCAACAAAATGGCTGCTGCGCGATCGCCATGCAGATGTTTAAGACAAGAGTTCAGCATTTCAAGGTTAAAAATACACCGTTAAAGGACTAAAAATGGAAAGAGAAAGTTCAAAAGAATGCTCAGCTTTCTTTTTGTGGAGAAAGGGAAGCTTTTCATCAAGAAATCGTCCTTCGAGGAATTCAACCTTGTTTTCTTCACGGCGGAGCCCATGGTCTGTCTTGAAATGCAACCAAGTCAGCGAAGTTTTTGCTGAATTTTCAGGTACATTTTGCACTCTATGGCCAAGACAATTACGTTTTTGACAGGGAATTTATATATTTTTAAATGTTTCATAGACGTTTTATAAACTTTTCTCTTCGGCGCTAAAGAAAAATTACAAAATGTGCCCTGATTTGAGATGGATTTTGTGTTGAATTTTGCCATGTGCTTAGCCGATGTCACTTGTGTGAACGGATCCACGATCCAGATAGTGTTTTCCGAATTGCTTTAAAGGATTGACTTTTTGGACTTTGAATAACAATTTTCAAGAAACGGTTCCTCTGTCTATTGTTTTTAGTTTGTCCATTCTTAAAATTAGCTCAAAACACGATCGTGACTACAACATCTAAGTTTTATTTCAGCTTTTAATATATAGATTTAGCCAGGGCTAAAAGCGAGGCTCCCATTAATATATCTATAATTTAAATCAAACAAAAACTTGTATTCTACAACTAAGTTAACTTTAGAGCGCATAGCACATTCATGTGACTTTTGAGGGAAAGGATAAGTGATTTTAGAGAAAAATGATTTGCAAACAGCCCAAGAGTGGACAAAATCTTACATCAAGTTGATAACCTCACATGTACACCCAAAAAATAGCAATCATCTTCGATCACATTTAGGAGCCATAATGGCTCTTGATCACCGTAAGATTAATTAAGCTTGGAAAAAAAATCAGGCCGAATTTTTTTGCGTTCGACAGGTTTACTTTACAAAATCTTGCCAACAAATCCGGGTGCGTGCACGTGTAAACCAACCTTTTACACCATTTATACATCACATCTGAGGTGAAACAGAGGTACTGTTTTTATCATACAGACCTCGGACAGAATGCAGTATTTCACAATTTTGCAACACAAATTGCACTCATTCAATATTCAGGACGATCGAAGCACGATGCAGCTCCTGAAAGGTATCAAGGAAGGCCAGTATCGCTTCAGACTTTTCAACCCTTACGCATCAAGCAAGGTGAAAAGCGAAATCGATGCCATCCGAAATCGGATTTCCGACTTTGACAAGTAATGTATTAATTTCTCAACCAAAAACCAACTAGCCATGAATAACAGAAGACTCCTGATAGCAGCTGAATTTCATTTTGTGCATCCAGTGGAAAAAGACAGTTAAAAACATCAAGTTGACACAAAACTCTGTCAGCTTCAGCTGTCAAAGTAAACAAGATTCAAGATGCTGCATGAATTTTCCGCATGAGCTCACCTGTCAAATTTTGACCAATCAGAGCGTAAAAATTGGACGTAGAGCGTGACCAACGCGTGACCATGGTGAGCAAAGTCAAAAGCAACTGCCTTCCCTGCCTGTAATAGCTGGCTGAATGTTCGCGTCCGACGTCAGTTTTAAATCAAAATTTTAATTGTGCGGCACAAAAACAAAACATATTTCATATGAATTAAAAAACAATCAAACTTGAGCATGCGATCATTTGAAAACTAGTAACTTGTCAGCGGATAACTTCAAAAAAATACTGGACCTCGATGGGTCAACACCTGAGCCCGCGATACGGTCAAGTGATACTGGTCAGCGGATACCCTGTTTTGACAGCTGTGAATTGATCACAACATTGATGTCCAATGGATGTGTGCATTATCAATTTTCCTGTGCTCTCAATTTAGCTAGAAAGTATGAGATTGAACATTGATTGCGAGCTAGTAAAACAACTGGTCAGCGGACAGCTTCCAAATAAATCACGTCACCTTGATGAGTTGACACATGAGCCCCCGATATGGCAATGTGATACTGGTCAGTGGCTATCCTGTTTTGACAGCTGTCAATTGACCATATTGTGAATGGCCAATATAAAAGATATGGGTTTGCCAAGACACCCCTGAGACACCCCTCCCTTCCTTTTGATAGTCTCCCCTACCCTACCCGTACAATCTGTAGACGCGTACGTACGTACGCTCGGTCAGTCACGTGACAACCAAACGAAAAGAGGTTGACCATATTCTATGAGTATGGGGCCCCGCTAAAATGCTTCTCACATTCATTACAAGCATCACTTTTTGCGAAGATGTCAGGTTCAGGTTTTGGACACTTTCGATACGTAGCTAATGAATTTTATTCGAAAATATTTTTCAATGTTTATTCTAGACTTTTAACATACGAATTTTAAAAGCCTATTTGCAGTATAAGTTTACTGTGCAGAGGGTCAACGAGGCATCCTTTTTTGAAGTGACAACTTCAAGAAGTTGCGAGGCCGTCAATGGGTTTCATAATGTTACGTTTGGCCCGGATGGTAAGGCAATAATATCCTGCTCAGTGTTTCGGTAATATTCATGGTTTCAACCGTTGAAAGCTTTCTCGGCTTTCGGGAGTTTTTCCCCCGTTTCTCGGCCATTTTTTAAGCGGGCGCGGGAACCTGAAGGAAAATTACGTCACGTTGTTTACGAAGTTTGATTGGTTAGTTATCTCTTCTTCTCGTTTCGAATATGGTACTTTCGAAAATGAATAATCACGAGCATCGGACAAAGTAAACATAGGAGAGTTACACGTTTCAACCCCTTATGAATTTCTGGTAACACTAAAAAAACACGTGTACAGGTGAACATTTTTCAAATAATATTTAACAACGGAGAGTTATGGTGAGGAGAATTAGAAACATCCGGAAAATGTAGTAGCAAAAATGTCTCTTTGCAAATTTCGTTAGCACAGTTAATTACAGACATATATTTCCCTCAAAGTTCATATTTTTAAAACTAAAGCTGGTGTTACAACATAATTGGCCGTTCCTCGTGATTTCTATTTCCCGCATTTCTTTGGGTATGGCTTCTCCTATAAATACGTTCTTCTTACCGGTCTTTCCCAAATAGCTCTTATTGTTGTTTTAACAAATTAAGAAATTAGTGCAATTAATTACGATAATAAGAATAATCATAAATCAGTGTTATTAATTACGAAAATAGCTCATCTCCATCATGTTGGTAATATGTATTAGATCTTCCAACAATGGTGATCACGATGCCTTGAAAGATGAAGTCCTTCTTCGCTCCAAGACTTGCCTGGAGATTTTTAGGGATGTTTCTAAGTCTCGTTGTAATTTTGAACTTCTGCTGGACTGTTTACAAAGCATCGCGAACTGCATCTCATTTCTTGGCCAGCTGTCTATGATAGGAGAAGATGGAACAGGAGGTCTTGAAAGAATAGAGCAAGTGGTGGAGGAGGCCTTTGAAATTGTCATGAAGTGGCTTAAGACGTCATTAAAAAGCAAAATTCCTTGTTACCGCATAGAGAAAGCGGAATTAGAATTAAAGGTGTGTCAAAGGTGTTTTGTCTTGTATTTGTTTATCATTTGTATGTGGAAGAACAGATAAAATAAAGGCAATCCGTTATTACAGAAGGGGCTTTTTGCCCCATATAATTTTCCCTTTAGGCGTTGTTAGTGGCCCGAGTTGTGAAATATGTTGTGCAAAAACGCAACATAAAAACATACCCATTTAGCCTTCATAATGTTCCCGGTAAGCAAGCACTTTAAGATCTAGCTAAAAAAATCAAGTTTACTGAGATTTCTGTCACAAACGTGTTCAGGTTACTTTCATCTTTCATGAAATATTCAAAATATACATTTTTAGAAGTGGACAAAGTTGTTCGCCCTTGAATGGGGAGTTAAACAGTTCGAGGACATCTGGAGTGATAACTTGTCACGGGAACTGAAACAGCGTTTGGAAGAGGCAAGACAACTCTATTTCTTTTGTATTACATAATTATCGTTTGTAGCCTGTTACAGTGAAACCTCTGTTAAGCGGACCCCAATAAAGCGGACACCCTTTATTAAGCGGACACTAAGCCGGATCCCGAAAGTAACGTCTAATATTTCCCTTTATAACAAACCCCTATTCAGCGGAAGCGGACACTAACATAAATTGTATTTGGCTAGTTTCTATTGTTAAAAACCTCTATTAAGCGGACACTGGACTGAATTGACAATAGTAGTTCTGGATTACGTCCTTGACATATGTACTGTAGTCGATTAATAGAGATAAATCAATACATTTAGCTGTCAATAAACTGTAGATTAGACCGACATCCGGTCGTATGATTGTCATCCGCGATCACTGAAGTTCACCGAAACGTCTTGCGCAAAGTACAGTAAAGTTATTCACAATCAAATCCTTCCTTAACAACATGGAACTTTATCAAAGCACAGAGTAACCGTTCAATGTTAATCGTTAACGAACATTGCGCAATTTTTACAAACCTCTATTAGGCGGACACCCTCTATTAAGCGGACACTTGGGAAAATCCCGAAGGTGTCCGCTTAATAAAAGGTTTCACTGTACCAGTAAATGAAGTTAGTGACGTTGACGGGCGGGTCTCTTATAGGAACACGAGAACCTCATCTCAAAACTCTTTGGAAATTCCACGCAGGAAAACTCATCAACAATTTATTTGCAACGTGTAAAACATTGCAGTGATCGCTGTACCTAGATCTCAAACACAATAATGCTGTGTCTGAGGTTATGCACGTGAGTTGGATTGCATTTATTCGAGCGGTACAATGTAGGGTTCGCCGTTTAAAACAGTCCAAGAGCAATAGAAGTAAGAGCATCCTTAGTGACAGCACGAACAATAATATATATATCTCTAAATGACAACTGCCTTTTCATTTAAGGTATTTTAAACATCTGTCTTATTTTTGTTTTTGTAGTGTTTCTGTAATGACCTGGTCGAAGTCTTTACCAAAGCTAATATGGCAGCTCATCATAATTTTGTTCAAGACTTAGTGTCTAAAGTAACATTCGGAAAAGTTGACAACATGCTTCAGGTGACGTAATGTGTTTGGTTGCCTGTGCTCTCTATAGTATCAATAGTACACTAACGAAATTTTGATTTAGAAATCATTTCACTTCTCACCAATAGAAAAGTCAACCTTTTCAATCGGTAGGGGGGTAAAGGAGAATTAAATTTTGTGATATGCTTTTAATATTTCGCTAATTCGAAGTTGGTATATTCTGCGGTACTTGGATTTTGTGAAACTGTATCCAAACTCACTTCATTTTTTTTACATTTTACCAAATTTCCAAGATTGGTTATCTCTTTAACCATGTGATTCAACATTGCTTGAATTTAGGTAAAACGAATTCGAACATAGCAACAAAACAGTCAGTAGCCGTTCATATCTAATATCTTACAGTTTTATTCATTTTCTCATCCATTTACTGCGAAACATGCCTAATCAATGTGAAGGAAAAGATACCCGCACTACTTTCTCGCATTTTTCAAATCTCATGAGACTTGTGTGTTTCAAAAAAGACAATATTAATGACATTCACTTCATTCTCGCGTCATCATATGTTTGCGGTACTTAACTTCTGATTTGTTTTAAATCGCAAAAATCTTGTTGAATTCAACAAGGTCGCAAAAGCTACAAAAGCAATAACGGTTAGTGAAGAATTACTGTAAGATGTGGTCAGTTTGATTTATCTCTTTTTATGATTTGTTTGTATGCTGCTCTTTTTCTTTAGATGGACAGCGTGGGAGAGGAGGTGTTCCGGTGGCTGTCAGAGTATGGCCTTGATTCTCCCCAAGCCGATGAGTGTGGCGAGCTTCTAACTCTGATGCTTATACGTTGCTGGCCTCAACCACAAGGAAGCATTTCATGCTCAAGTAATACAAGTCTTCGGCACGTTCTGACCTGGAGGCTATGGCCCTGCTTCTTTCGTAGATTCGGTAATAAGTCTGTACATGAAAGTTAATTAGTTGCTTTTAGAATTGATTCTGTACGTGCAGTGAGTCGCTTTATTACTACTTGCTTGGGAGAATCAACATTTTCATTATTTCTCAATACCATTCGGCCTGTCAGACAAATTGATATTGTTAAGACAGACTCTGGTAATGAATAAGTGAAGTTTATATATCTCTCATCTTTTCCTAACCCTATCTGCACGGCAAATACCAATTTCAATTCCGTAACGATTTGATTTTTCGTATGTCTGTGCTTCTATTCGTTTGATGCATGATTGTTATCAAAGGGAAGCAGTGCTGTTTTCCCCTATTGTTTGTGCAAGACACCACCAGCATTCCATAGTCTTAGACGAAAATGTGGGTGTTCATCGACCAAGTTTGAAATTAATGACTTGTTCTTGCAGGCAGATTGACTAAGTATGATGTGAGGGTATGAATAGGAGTATGTGAATGGGTGGAAAAGGCTGTTTTGTGAACTCGGTTTTTCCTTACAAGAACGGCCGCGTAAGAAGCTACATATACACTGAGCCCTCGGTGCGAGTTTGAGCTACCTGTGTCATAACATTTGGATGACTCCAGGTCTTCTTTATCCGTACACTAAATAAGTCATTTAACCCTAGGGTACCATCCTGGACAGTTGAAGGAGCTCGTATGATAAAATGTCTTTCCTTGATCGTTTTAAAAATTTGTCAAAATATGCTTCATTCACTTAAGTCCATGTTAAACACATTGTTATTTGTTGTGACAGTCCCTTTGGCACAAGCAGTTGTTCCCGTCCTTAACAATTCTACTGCCAAGAGAACGCTTTTTCAGCATCTTTTTAATTAGTAAATATCATCATTTATTGTCATAGTGACGTCTCCTGGCTTAGTTTTTGCTCTTTGTGCTATCGACACATTTGTATAATCGTGTGTTGGTTATCGTTGGTATGACACTTTTTTCATGAAATTATATGTGTCGCTTTTGTAGGGCGTGAGTCTGATTTTCGTCGAGTGTTGAAGGAAGATGGACAGGAGATTTTGATGTTGGCGCTTTCATCTTTAGAAGCTGCAATCAATGGTGTTTTGGACAGTTCCATAGAATTTGAGTTATTAAAACTAGTTCTTGATCACTCCGACCGATTTTTGATACTTTCTGAGAAAATAAGCAAAAGGGGAAGAGATAAATCAGCGTTAAAGAAGTCTTTAAATCAGCGCTACATGGAATTAACTGCATTTGAGGAGGAAAGGCAGAAAGTCTCTTCTTTTATAAGGATGTGCGAACCCATTTGGCAAGGTAATGTTATACTTTTTAAACATTAATAGTGTAGGCGGGCTCGTGTACTTCCACTGTGATCTCGAAGGGTGTGGTAGGATTTCCTGGTCTTGCAATGAATACACGTTATTAATAGTAGTTCAATCATGCCCTGTTTAGCCGCCTAATAAAATGGGTATTGAGTTAGGGTTGACACTAACCCTAATCTAAGCCTAATCCTAACCTTAACCCTAAAACGGCATTCTCAAAAAAAGATAGACCTCGAAAAATTCAGAACTGAATTGTGAACTTGAAACAAAGTTTTAATATGCTCTAAACTTTTCAGTGCTCAGAGTTCTCGATATGATAAACAAATAAAAAACCCAAGATTGTACGCGTATTTTTTCACTCATGATATTAATAGGTAAAAGGCGAAGGAAATGACTAGAATCTGGAAATAACGTAAATATTACCCTAGATTCACGAGTATAATATTTAATCACAGATACTAATTTCGCCGTCTTTTGCAATATAGATATTAAATAAGTATTAAATTTGGGTGACGTCATCGTATATCCATATCTGGTTGTGGCCCGGACTGGTTCTCAGATAGACAATACAGTTTCCTTAATTTCCATCTTTCAGCAACACCAGATTAAATTGCAAATTAAGCTATTTTCTTAAGCCGTCTCTGGTTCAAACAACCGGTCTCAACAACCCCCCCCTCGGGACTGAAATGAAATGCCGCCACCAAACATTTCACATTTTCACATTGACGGTGTTTAACCTTCTCCACTTGGTGGATTTTTAGCAGTACGATAGACGCTAATGCTTGTGAAGTTTTGAAATGTGTTTTTGAGCTGTAGATAGCCTGCGGGACTTTGATGGGGAAGGGAGATTTCAGAAGCGCGAGAACGCCAAGGGAGCGCGCCTTCCGTGCTTTAATGCGTTCGAATTCCTGTTTCCGCTTCAAACGCTTAGCAAGCAGACAAAACAGGAGGATTTTTTTCAACAATTTTTTCTAGTAAGGCAGTGAAATTAGGTATCGATTAGAACACAGTTTCTAAGTATGTCAGAATTCTGTGTATCCTTGTTTCCTCAGTTGACCTGCACGATTTGAGTAAAAAGACAGAAATGGATGCCTCTCAGATGCCGATTAAAGAACTAGCACAGTCGACTAGTGTTCAAGGAAAAGTGTTTCCGGTGGTGACATTCTTTGGGCTTTCTCCGAAGGCAAAGCAGATGATTTCCGCTTTAGACAAGCTTGCTGATAGTATACTTTTACAGCAGTTTTTGAGAGAAAACAGCGAGAAAGAGCTAAAAATGACTGAAAAGAGAGAAGGCCGTAAAATTGTTTTGCTGAGTGTTGATGAAGTTGCAGAGTTAGTGTGGGCGCCTTCAAATGAGCGGCTACAGTCACTACAAGAGAGTCTTTTAAGTGGCACCATTTCTTTCGAAGAGCTCGACAAGCTCTTTCAGGTGTTTAAGGATAGTCAAGACCTTGCCAAAGAGATGAGGCTGCTCATCTTAAAAAATGAGAGTCAAGTAAAGGCAAGTGAAGACAAAATGAAAAAACGCATTGAGCAGATTGAACGGTACTACAAATTACGAAACTGCATTGACGCCGTTTGGGTTATCCTGGAGCTCAAAGAAGGTCTTAATCTTCACGGAGATTTTCGGTTGGTAGAAGACGTGGGTAACCAGGTTTGTCGATACGATAGGCTTAAATTGACAAGATTTACACCACACTTGGTAACTTGAGCTGCTCCATTATAACTTTCTTTACATGGCGGTGTCTTAGAATTTTTCAAAAGGTGATTGTTAGCGTACCTAGTTTCTAGTCTGCAACACAGCCGTTTTTAGTGTCGTCACGCAACGCTCGCTTGTGGGGAAGAGGGTTGCGCGACAAAACTGAAAACGTCTGTGCAGCAGACTAACCTTGTTTCTAGCCTATTGTTATTTTACTCATGTCTAGTCGTGTTAGAGAGAAAACTCTACCCAAAAAGTTAAAACTAGCACTATGCTTGATGCCCCCTTGCAGCTTGAAGACATACAACCGCTATTGTAAGGTTATTTAAAACTTTCTCTTTTTACTTAAACAGATGACTAAGGAATTCAAACAGCAACCACTTCAAAGCATGAATACTGCGCTACAAAAAGCAGGAAGAGCTCTGTCAAAAATAACTCCTAACCATGCAAGATGTCTAGATGCTGTCAACAAATGCCAAGATTTTATATCGTGGTTAAAGGAAAAAATTAAAGGTAGAAGAGTTCCGAAATGAGTTATGTTTTTGCGGCAAGAATACATCTAACCAGTGAGAAGAGAAAACAAAATCGACTTACTGTATGTAACAGTATTGAAGCGTTCTGGGCTCCCATTAATAGTCACTGTTTAAAAATCCGTAGAGTCAAACAAGCTGAGCACTCTGCAAAGTTGTTCAAAAAATTTCCTGGTAGGATCGCAGAGACTGTTGAAATACTGTCATTGGGACATACAAAGTGTTGCAATTGGAGAAGAGTATAATGTAAGATTTGCTTAACGATTAGCAGAATTTCGGAGGCTACAGAGCAGTCGTGAATTTAGGTTTTTCTAGCCTATGCCGTTAAACATAGTTTAAATAAGTCATACTGCCGTCTTTTTAAACAACTGCGGCTGCTAAACTAACATTAGCCGTATTTATACTAGAGGACGTTTAGTATAAATACGGGAAATAAGGCTGAGACGCATTAAACGGCAGACGTCTGAAGTTAAGTGCGTCCGATCGACGCACTTAAAAGATGAATTAGTATAAAAACAGGACGCACTTAACACTCAGACGTTTAATGCGTCTGGACGTCTAAGACGTCTTCTAGTATAAATACGGCCATTGTCACATTTTTATCTCAGGCCCTCAACAACTCAAGGTCCTTGTGGATTTGGCCATCATCTCAGCAGGGGAGACAGACATGGAAACAGCAAGAATCACTTGTCTACATACCAGCTGCCTTGGCTTTGCTCCTCTCATCTTTGACTTGAAATCTTCTTTTGGATTTGATGAATTGATAAAAACATGTGAACCAGTTTGTAATGCAGTGGATGCAGACCCCAGTCTTCCTACAAAACTGGTATGCCTTCTTGCTGTTTGGCATGGCGTTTTGATGTTTCGGTTTATAGTGTTTGCAAAATAAGAATCACTTGAAGGTTGGTTCAGTTAATACTGAGGGTGCAATACAGTTTCCTATTTAACCATGATATTAACTAAGTCCTGCAAGAAGATTAGCGGTGAGTGAACATGATGACTTCTCATAGTTATCTTTCTAAAATAAGTTAATAACACATGAGTAGAGGACTCATATGTTTGTGTCAAACTGCCAGGATTTGCAACCTTTAAGCAAGAAGTAAAAACTATTTGTTTGGAAAATGGAATTTTTGCTCCGAGACTAAGTCATTAAGTAGTCTGTTTAGTGATAGAATATCGATAATTAACGTTTCTTGTTTCTCTAGTGTCTTGTTAACGCCATAGTTGACTATTTGAATTCCAAATTTCACATCTGATTTCACTTCATTTGCAGATAGACACAAGTCGTCAGTTAGAGTGGCTAAAAGGATTAGAAAAGTCTCATGGTTCAGTGGCAAAATCATTTCTAATGGAAGCTAAAGCCATCAATGAACATGGCGTTTACCTTGTTGGCTGTGTCAGTGAAGACGTCGAGAAATCAATAGAAACGTTAACTCTCGATGCTGTGATCAGGCTCAAGTTACCCGCGGATGAGAAGAGATTCACTCTCGACGACCTGAAAGATTTACAAAGTAAGCTGATGCTCATTGCCGCCAAAGCTTCGCATGGTAAAGAAGACGTGGATAGATTTGTTGATGTAAGTTTATTGTCTACATTTTAGGCAAACGGGCTGGGGTTTGTCCATATTAACAGTCAAATACTATAAAGAAGCCTTGCTCTGAGGGCTCTCTCGCTCACCTTTGTCGGTCTCTATATCTCTTTCAGTCCTCACTATGCCAGTGTTAGGTGTCTTAGGGATCTCACCTTTCACTTACCGAACTTTTTCTAGTTGTAAAGGCTAATATTATCGATTGCCTTAGTATCAAACTTATTGGGTACAGATATCCATATCCCTTTTAAGCTTTTGCAAGACCCTTCAGGTCGTTTTTGTTTAGCTACTCGGATCTTTCAAAAGTACTAGTACCTTGTTACCGAGCGTTAAGTCTTGTGTATGATTTTTTTTTTTTTTTTTTTTTTTTTTTTTTTTTTTTTTTTTTTTTGCAACTATGAAATCATAAAAGTAATGAAATCAAAGCATACAGCTGCTGATTTTTTATGGCCTAGATATATAACACTGTATTTCGAATTTTTTTCAAAATTGATAGATTCTGCAATGTGTCCAGCGACTTGCTATAGTGTACATCGCACTTTGCAAAGCTGGAGAAGTCAGCCATCTCAAATGGAAATACGACTTTCAGTGTACACCTCGGCTTACTTCCAGCCGCTCTCTGACAGATGATTTGGAAGAAAAAAGCGAGCAGATGGAGCATTGTCTTCAACAGTGGAAAGACGAGTTGCATGCCAAGCGTATGATGTATAGTGAATTGAATCATTTCACCACCCGGCAGTTGTTGGTCCTTCGAAGGCAGCTGGCTGAGGTTCAGGGAAGAGGTCCCAAGGCTGTCGATAGCATTCCTCTTAAAGTTTATAACCTTTTAGAGAGTGTGTTGCCAGGCGTTGAGCCAGTCATTCTCAAGTCGGTGCTTATTTCGCAGTCGTCACACGTGGAGATGTTTCAAACGCTAGTGTCAAAATTGGAGTCAATTGGTTACCCCGCAAAGGCCGAGCAGATTGCCATAGCAGCATTGAATTCATGTAAAGAGGCCAGCGAAGAAGATCTTATTGTATGGTGTGTGAAAAACGCCGGCAACAAAGATGTAATTGATGCCAGTTACTCAGAAGCTCTCCATGATCCCAGATATTTGGCGCTCATCAATAAAGACCTAGCCGCTCCTGTTGAAGAAGGAAGGTAAGCTATCTACGGGATGGTGAGTTTTATTTGTGCATATTTCCTTAGGTGGCCCGGGCCCTCAGAGAGTTATTGGACATTTTGAGCAAATCTTCAGGAAAGTGGAATATCCGCTACAGAATTGAAGACACGAAATAGCGAAATGACTACATCGTCTTTATCATGTCAACCAGAATAGACAATTAATCTTATTTCTCTGTCCAACGAAATGTTGTTTTATCAAGCTAATTATCTTGTAATAGATTTCACTGAAGGCACCATTCATGTTGTGCTTAATTTTCTAACCACAAAATGTAGTTTTCTAAATCAAACTTGAGGCACAGTCAAACCAGAAAAACAATAAATGATACAGGCGATATAGTTTATAGTTTCCTGATCAGGTTTTAGCGTAAAGTGAGTAACAAACAATCGTTCATTGCTTTGCTTGTAATTATTTTCTGCTTTTGAAGTCCTTCTGAGGACATGATGATTGAGCCAGACGAAGTTTCACAACCTATGGAAACTGCACGTTGTCTTGACCAGACCGCGGGCGGGGAGTTCCTGAGCCTTGATGAGCTGGGAAAAGTTCTAAGCCAGCTTGCTTCACAAGGTTTGATTCCGGCCTTTAATTTTTTTTTTCAATTTTTCATAATGTTTACTTGTCACTAAGAACCCGGGGAGGGTGGAAATGGAAAGGCAATTTTTTTTTTCTGCATAGGAACACTTCAACATCAGCGACTAGAGAAAAAAAGACAAAATTAAACATGTTAGTGGTTGTTAAGAATTGAGCTTTCGAACTTTTGTTACCTGGCAGTATTTTAGAACTAAAACATATCCTCCCGTTGTTTGCAGGCCCTCCAAAACGACGAAGACGTCATCCACAGTACTTAAAGCGCGGAAAGCCGAATCTTGTTGTTATTCCAAAAGGTAAAATCATACTAGGTCCCATGACTAAACTGTGAGCAGTCTCTCTTTTTCTTCTGATTTCGTGAGGAGAGTGCACAAGCGCAAGCGTCAACCGTCTCGCGTCTTCAGTCACGCCCGTGGTCATTTGCGTGTCTCGCGCGTTTTTCCAGGCGGACCAAGAATAAAGAGAGGCTTCTTGTAGTCTATCACATGACGAGTTGCTTTATTTTTCTCACCCTCTTTAATTCTCACCTTGTAAGTTTTTCATCTTTCCTTCTACTTTTCATATTTTGTTTCCATATGTGTACTTCCAATACCTTCGCAGCCCCCTTCCTTTACTGTTACTTTAGTGTAACTTACTGCAGTATTAGTTTGTCATTTATTATTTAAAAATCCCATTACAGATGACATTCTAGGAACAGTGCTGTCCTTGTACATGCAAGACTCCTCACCATCACTGCCTAGTTTCGAAGAAGTGTTGATATGCTCTTCTGATACAACTGCAGAAGAGGTGAGCATTTTCGATTTACAGATGGATAGAAACAACTTTTGATGTTGTTTCTTTTCCCATTACTGATAGTTTGTATGTTTGAACCTTTTATTTAACAAAAAAAATAGCAAACTGACACAGGGGAAGGAAACATATCCTTCCATGAGAACATTCGCACTTATCAAACAGATTTTTTACTTTTCATTATGTTTTGGCCACTTGAGGAAGGTAGGACCTGACATCTGTGGATCAAATTTTGTTTGCACTGTCGGATTTCCGGACATGTTAGAAGGCTCGTGTGGTATCCCGGGATACTCTTACTCGTAGTACTCTTAGTGATGTGCTGTTGACGTTTAGAGGTTCATTTGTGTACGCATGAACACGCGGTGGGTGTTACACCCACAGCGTGGCGACTCTTGGCATTGCTTCATTCTCTCTTCTGACTGATTCCCACGAGCAAGGATACTGGTTTGAAAGCTTAACAATGGATTTTTTTCCAGTGGCTTAGTTTGATTTATTTGTAGCCTTCGAACCGGCTCACGTTAACTGGCGACAAGCGTTCACTATAATTAGCCGACTAGACTTTGCCTGTTACATTTCCCTTATAGATTGAGCTTCTTTGGCGACGGGCCCTTACAGACTCTAATGGACAGATGTTCTGTTTGGTGAATGTTGACCTTCTTGACTACACTGTTTCCCAGAAAGCTGCTGACAGCCTTGAGTTTTTACTACAGGAGCCTCAATACAATCGTAACGATGGTATTCTAAGCCTCCCACTTGCATTAAAACCCCTAGTCTGAGGCACAAGGCACCCCTATGGGAGACGAACTTCAACAGCATTAATGAGCTAGTGGTCAAAATAACTGACTCTAACTGACTTAGACTTTAGCTTAAAGCCTCTCTCAGTTACTGGATGACTTAACACTTATGGAAATAACTGATCTCGTGAAGGACGCAAGTACGTTTTGACTTTGATATTTTCGACTTTGAAAATTGACAGATCGCTCCCCACTAATGCAAAGAGAGTTTTCGCCTGTAAGAATTAGTAACAATAGTTTCATCTTTTTTTTAGCGAAATTGTAGTTCAGTGGATATTTTCTCATTTTAGGGCTGTCCCTTGTGGTTATCTGTAGTTCTGAGAATGAAGACAGAGCTCATATGGCTGCAGCACTTGATCAGCACAGACTTAGAACTATTCCGTATTGTGCCGTATCAAAAGATATCAGGCAATATCTGCAGACACAATTCAAGGTGTGCTCTCGACTACAAGGAAAACTGCAAGATAAGATCCTTCAATGGGAACCCGCTGCCATGGTGGACAAGGAAAAGTAAGGAGAGAAAAATGCACTCTTTCTCTTTGCAATGCACCTTTTTAGTGACTTCGTTTTCTGGGAGTTCTGTGACCCTAAGAGTTGATTTCTACTGCCGCGTATTTTTTTACGTGGGTACGTGCGTAAAATTTACGTTCACAAATAAAATAGAGGCAAAGAATGAACGGTCGCTCGTAAGCGTCTCAGCAGCGTCTAAATCTCAACACTTTATATCTTGCGTCTATTCTATTTATGTGATTAACATTTACGTACGTTAACGTACGTAGCAAAAAATGCGTCAGTGGAAATCAACCTTAAAGCTAAACCTTTGTATACGAGGGGTCCTATTTAGTTTTAATTATCCATTGCCCAAAAGCTAGTAAAAGTTAAGATAAGGAAACCCAGAAATGCACACAATTAAACAGAACGTAGACAATGTAGACAATTGTAGACAATGTCAGCAGCGCCACCTAAAACACTATCCCCACCATTAGCAGTACCAACTCCACTATCATTACGTACGGCACAACAACAATCCAACAACTGGCAAAATCAGCGACTGCATCAGCCTCTCATTAACACTAGCAACACCATACCGACAGCATCAGCGACTCTTCTGACCACTACCAATGACACCAAACAAACCGTTACCATAGCCAACAACACCAACACGAAGCATATTTCAAAAGTAGGTTGAGTTTGATCGTCCGGGTGAACGTAGTCCTGAATAGGACTGTTGTTGTTGACAGTGACTGACGTTTCGACAACCTGTACGGTAGTCATCTTCAGAGTCAAAGTGAGTTGTATCACGTCAGTTGATGGTATTATACTCTGGTTATTGATCTGATTGGTCAATTACGTCGCAATGTTATTGGTCGTCTGTCAGTTAAGCAGGAGGACAAACCGGAAGACAGACAGGGAGCAGTATACAAGATCAAATGCTGCGACTGCCAGGCTTCTTACATTGGTGAAACCGGCAGAAACCTAAGCACGCGACTGGCCGAACACAAACGAACGACGAGGAGTGGTGACATCTACAATCACATTGCTGAGCACCACTTAAAGACGAAACATCAAATTGACTGGGACTCTGCGAGATGTATAACGTATTCTACAGACTACTATCAACGTCTTATTTTAGAAAGCTGGTTTACTAACTTAGAACAAACACCACTGAATCGTAGCCAACAGTTACCAGCGCCGTACAAACGACTTATTGACGAGATCAAGCAAAACTAACTACGAGAGAACGACTGGAGAAGTGGCAATTTGACTAACAATAGAAGACTGTTTAACCGTGACAATAGACGGATCGAAACGCACCAATTACTGATTACGAGTCTTCTAGCCAATAACATCACTGCTTAACTGACAGACGACCAATAACATCGCGAAGTAATTGACCAATCAGATCAATAACCAGAGTATAATACCATCAACTGACGTGATACAACTCACTTTGACTCTGAAAATGACTACCGCACAGGTTGTCGAAACGTCAGTCACTGTCAACAACAACAGTCCTATTCAGGACTACGTTCACCCGGACGATCAAGCTCAACGTACTTTTGAAATGACTCCTGGGCTCAAACCTTTCACACAGCATATTGCATTGTAAGGCAAGTATATCACCAACAACATAACACAGCCAACGGTCCCGTCATCTACAGTACCAAACACCACACTAATAGGGAGCTCAAGCAACAACGAGGGCGACGGCTAGGAAAACGTCACTTAAAAAGTGAAGTTGCGCTGCCTCAAACTTTTTCCCGAGTATTACCTCGTGTTCAATTCGCCTAACGTTGGCTGTTTTTACTGGAGTTCGTTTCTAAAAGACTGTATCGAAGTTCAGGAAAAGAAAAAGAAAGTCGTTGTCTTGTGTTCACGTTTTCCAGAAAACATGAAAATAGGCATTTTCACATCGTAGTCAAGCAGTAACGGTAAAGAAATGTACAAAAAAGCATGATGCACGTGAAAAGTTGTTTTTTGCTAGTTGAACCTATTGCATTTTTGCCGTTCTCGTTGACGTCGCCGTCGTCGTTGCTTAAGCTCCCTAATCGCAGCAGCAACAGCCGCGTCAATAGCAGCACTGCCAACACCACCTTAAACACCAGCGTTATTAGCCTCAACCCGTGAAGTGACATTTTAGTGGCCACCGCCACTACCTTTTACAAAACACAGGCCAAACAGGATCAACAACAAGGGTGTCTTGTAATGTCTAAGTTGACCTTTGTGTTTCCTGTCTCTAAAAGAATCATTCCGTTTATCCCATACAGGTTGTCAGTGAGAGTTGTGTCCTCAGAAAGGGCAGGTTGCGGCAAGAGCTTGGTGGTTCAGCGACTTAGTGAAAGCTTAGTTCAACTTGGAGACAATGATGCAGTATTGAGTTACCTCAGAGATGGGGAGGCAGATGTGCCTCTGTGTATCAGCGTCCCAATTTATGGACCAGCTGTCGATCAGTGCTCCGTTGTGGAGTCCTTGTTACCGCATATAATTGTTCCTGATCTGCCACTTTCCCGAATTTTTCACCTTGATGTCCATCCGTCGGTACTAAATGTTTTTTTTTAGACAAAACAATATGTTTAAGCGTACTTTAAATGAATGTATATCACAGAAACGTATTAAAAAGGGTTGAGATAGCTACGATCTTAGAAATGTTGGAATTGGGCAAAATATTTTTATCCCACAAAAAATACACTGAACACACTTGCCAATCAATAGGAAGGTATGCTTAAGAACCGCTTCGCACCTATCTATTAACTGACCGTACCATCCTTGTGATGGCTCTATTTTGTCAGGTGAAGAGTGGTCTTGACGCACTTCTGTTTAATCTCTTGATACTTGGTGTCTTGAAAAGTAGTAGTGGACAGGTCTGGAGACGGAGATTATCTGACTTGTATGTGATTGAGCTAACGACGGGGCCAAAGCAAGGGGTCAGTGAAACCGTTCAAAGGCGAACGGAACTTTCTAAGGTAGGTTTTACTTAATCGTTAAGCCATCATCAGAGTGTCCTAAGAGATACTGTGGGTGTATTTATCTTATTTCTCACGAGAAGAACCGATCAATGAAGAGCGCTTGTTATATTTTTATTGTACCGATTTTTTAATCTTTATAAAGACTTTCTGGGCCGAGTTGTTCAAAGCTGGGTTTAGATAACCCAGGGATAGTGCGAGATTTGAATTCAGATTTGAAAGCTTAAAAAGCAGTTCAGTTGTAATTCTTTTTGTTTACAGCTTGATGATTGGAAGCTTTAAAAATAACAGAGAAAATTATCTTAGAAAATGCTTTTGAGCACAAAAAAAAGAAACCAGGGTTAAATTTAACCCCAGGTTAAGCGCTAATCGGCCTTCGAACAACTGGGCCCTGGACGATAACTTACATTGATGTCGCGTTTGCCTATCTTTTCTTTTTAAATATTTCATTTTTGTGGTGAATTACGCCAGGGCCTTTGCGGTTATTTGGCTAGCCCTATTCCAAAATGTCGTTAAGACCAGTGGGTAGGAACAAACAAGTGGCTCGTGGGATGTTACAAGATCTTTGTTTCACTGGCAAAGTAATTTTTTTAAAGCTGAAATGATATAATAATAATAATAATAACAATAATAATAATGATAATATATAGGGCAAATTAACATACAGGAGGATATGATCAAATGCGCTTTAGATATCAAAATTGAATACGAGATTATTATGTTACCTATTTACAATTTTGAATTTACAATAAAGTGCGAAGATGTATACTATATGAAACACTAAAAAGAAATTATAAATTAAACGCTTCTCTAAAATATTGAGTTTTAAATTTTGCTGTGTCTTTAATGATTTCGGGAGACTGTTCCAAATCTTGGCGGATGCATTGGAAAAGGCTTCATCGCCAAGCGTTTTTTTCGATCGTCGTGAATGGTCTTCCAACTGGATACTGGTGCTCGAGCGGAGGTTGTATGCGAAGTCTTCTTGATGGCGACCATGCTTTTTAGATAATTGGGGGCTTGTCCATGAATGCACTTGAAACAGAGCATAGAAATCTTGAAATTGACTCTAAACTTAATCGACAGCCAGTGAAGACGTATAAATGACGATGTGATGTGTTCATGTCTTGGCAATGAGCACACCAATCGGACTGCCGTGTTTTGCACCCGTTGGAGCTTGCTAAGGTTCATAGCGGCAACACCACACAATAGTCTATTACAATAGTCTATTCTCGACATCACTATTGCCTGAACAATCGACTCTCTATCTTCAAAGGTAAGATATCTTTTAATGCGCCCTATATTATGCAGATGGTAAAGTCCCGATTGACAAGTCTTGTTGATGGCGGTTTTCGTGCTCAGATGGTTGTCGAACCACGTCCCTAGGTTCCGAACGTTGCATACTGCAGACACTTTCACGTGATCAATACTGAGCTCTGATATGCTTATCTTGTCCAACTGCGCGCGAGTTCCGATTACAATTAATTCCGTTTTGTCATCATTTAGCTTAAGTTTGTCAGCCGTCATCCAAGTCTTGATGTCTAGAATACAATCTTGTAAAGCAGTTACCGCTTCCAATTCACTCGCTTTGGAACCAGGCTTAAATGAGATATATAACTGGTTATCGTCTGCGTATACATGAACATCTGGGAGGTGGCGCTTCACTACCTCAAATAGCTTGCTGGCATAAATTACAAAAAACAGCGGACCCAGACACGAACCCTGCGGTACACCATGAGGTAGAGAGAAATCCCCTGAGAAGCTCCCATTAATTAATGCACGCTGTGATCTACCAGCTAGTTAGGATCTGAACCACTGAAGTGCAGTATCTGCAATGCCAAAAGTTACCTCAAGACGACGGAGAAGTACTTCATGATCTACAGTGTCAAATGCTGCACTCAAGTCTAACAGCACCAGTAGAGTGACCTTCCGGTGATTCATGTTAAGCAAGATGTCATTGTGTACCTTAAGGAGGGCCGTCTCCGTGCTGTGGCCTGCTGGATAGGTTGACTGGAGCGTTGGGTACAGCTCTGATCGCACTAAATGCTCTTGGGTTTGGTTGTACACTGCTCTCTCCGTAAGCTTCGAAATAAATTGGAGATTACTCACAGGTATAAGATTTGAAAGGGAGGCGCTTTGACAACGTTTCTTGAGCTGTGGATCAACTAGAGAAGCTTTCCACGCAGCTGGAAAGTGTCCAAGAGTCAAGGAACAATTAACCATAGAAGTGATTATTGAAAGGAGTTCTTCAAGGCTGCCCAGTAAGATATACGTTTGAAAAGGATCGAGCGTACTACTTTTCTTAGGCGAAGCCTGAATGAGCTGGTATACATCCTTCTCTTTCAGTTCCTTGAAAAC